CTTATTGAAAAAAAAAATCTCTAGATTGGGTTTTTTATGTTAGGCATACAGTACAAGAAATAAATTGACCACCAATTGTGAAGCGAGGCATTTGCTAAGAGATTTTGTGTGCATTTTTTAGAGAATAAATAGGCTGGGGGTAGTGGCTCACACCTATCCCTCTTCACACTTTGGGAGGCCAAGGCAGGGGGATCATTTGAGCCCAGGAATTCAAGTTCAGCATGGGCAACAAAGCAAGACCCCATTTCTACAAAAAATAAAATAATTAGCCAGCTGTGGTGGCACCCATGTGTACTGCCACCTACTCAAGAAGCCAAGGCAGGAGGATCCCGTAAGCCCAGGAGTTTGAGACTACAGTGAGCTATGAACGTGCCACTGAACTCCAGTCTGGGTGACAGAGCAAGACCCTGTTTTGAAAAACAAGTCAATATTGATCCAATTGCTGAATACTGGAGAGGCAAAGTCAGATAAAATTGGATTCTAGGAATTAGGAAACCAATGACCATCTTAGCCAATGGAAATGTAGCAGAGTGGTGAAGCCAGAATCCAGATGGAAGTGAGTTTAAAAGTGAAAGGGAAGGCCAGGTGTGGCACCTCACGCCTATAATCCCAGCACTTTGGGAGGCCGAGGTGGGTGGATCGCTTGAGGTCAGGAGTTTGAGACCAGCCTGCCCAACATGGTGAAACCCCGTCTCTGCTAAAAATACAAAAAAAAAAAAAAAAAATTAGCCAGGTGTGGTGGTGCATGCTTGTAATCCCAGCTGCTTGGGAAGCTGAGGCAGGAGAATCGCTTGAACCCAGGAGGCAGAGGCAGTGAGCTGAGATTGTACCATTGCACTCCAGCCTGGGTGACACAGCAACGCTCTGTCTCAAAAAAAAAAAAAAAAATTGAAAGGGAAATTAGGAGATGAGGAACATGAGATTTCAAGAAGTATGATGGAGACAGAAAGGAAAGGGACTGGGCCAGAGGGGAAAGAAGGGTTGAAGAAGGGTTTTTTTCTAAAGGGGAAAGAAAGAGGTTCACAAGTTTAGAAGCTGAGAGGAAAAACAAAAACAAAAATAATGGACAGAGAGCAGCTGATGATGCAGTGGGGAGAGGGAATCAAATGGAAGATCTTGGAGAAGATAAAATGAGAGGGGCAGTCCTAAGCAGAAAGAGGAACTGGTTTGGGTGGGCTGGGGAAGCATGCCTTCTTCTCTGAGGCCACAAGAGAAGAACTGCAGATAAGCATTTGAAGGTGTTTGTCTGTATGTAATGGTCTCCCATTTTCTTGTGTACTAGAAGGCAAGGTCTGCTGAGAAAGATTGGTAGCAGATGGGGTCTTTTAAAAAGTTTAAAAATTTTTTAGAGACAGGGTCTGGCTCAGTTGCCCAGGCTGGAGTGCAGTGGTGCAACTCTAGCTCACTGCAGTCTCGACCTCCAACATTAATTTTTTTTTTTTCCTAGAGACAGGTGATTTCAATGTTACCTAGGCTGCTCTCAAACTCCTGGGCTCAAGTGATCCTCCCACTTCAGCCTCCCAAAGTGTTGGGATTACAGGCATAAGGCACCACACCTAGCCTGGGATCTTAGCTTGAAAAGAGTAATAAATTTGAAATACTCAATGAGAAAAATAGGAGAGGACACTGACTAAGGTAAAATCAAATACAAGGATTGCAGAAGAGCAATAGAGGGCCCAGATGAAATTAAAAGCCATATTGTTTATAGTGACAGCCATTGGGAGAACTGACTGATTTCCTCCACCTATCCTCAGTTGACTTCAGTAAAGTTGAGGAAAAAGAGAGCATGGGCCGGGCGAGGTGGCTCATGCCTGCAATCCCAGCACTTTGGGAGACCAAGGCGGGCAGATCACTTGAGGTCAGGAGTTCAAGACTAGCCTGGCCAACATGGTGAAGCCCCATCTCTACTAAAAATACAAAAAACTTAGCCAGGTGTGGTGACGTATGCCTGTAATCCTAGCTAGTCGGGAGGCTGAGGCAGGAGAATTGCTTGAACCCAGGAAGTGGAGGTTGAGGTGAGCTGAGGTAGTGCCACTGCACTCCAGCCTGGGCAACAGAGTGAGACTCTGTCTCCAAAAAAAAAAAAAAAAAAAGCATGAAGAAGAAAGTGGAGACCTCAGGTTCTGAGTTGGCCAGGTGAGCACACCAGAGGAACAAGGGGACAGAGGATGTGGTATCCCAGCTGGGTGGAGAAGGGAGAAAGAAAAGGCTGAGAAAAATGCAGGCAAGGGCCTGAAGTCTGGCATGAGTCAAAAGAGGACATAAGTTGGAGTGAGAGTGAAGGAAAAATTAAGGGTATGAGGTGTAACTGGAGAGTAAATTGGAGAGTGAAATATAACAGTACCCACATACAGGCAATAAGTAGTCTATTTCATCAGATTAGCATCAAAAATGAGGCAGTGTGCACCAGAGTTAACAATAAAATAATATAATTTTCTTTAGTCCAAATGACTTAAAATGACAGTGTTAAAATAAGTTTTGCCTTAAATAGATTGATTCATTAGGATGTCAATTCTATTGGTAAATGTAACCAATATTTGAAAAGTAGCTTAACACAAAGAAAACCACATTGATAAAATATACTTTGGTGCCTGAGGTGGGTTGGAAGAGATGACTTTCACAATTACATGATTGCTTAGAACTGTCCATTTTTACTTCTGTAATTAGGAAGGCAAAAGAGTCCGGAATCAAGATGTGTCAATATTCCAATGTAGAGTACCTTTGGAAGGATTCGCTCTGGTCTGGAGTTTGGTATATAATAAACCCATTATTGGCAGCCTGAGAAGAAGAATGGAAGTAAATAAGTTAAGCAAGACCTTAATACTTTGGCAAAGGGGCAGAACCTGGAATAGGTGGGAGAGTCCAGCACAGGACCTGGGCTCTGGTTCATTTGTTAGCATTCTCTGTGAGCCCACAGGGAATCACATCCCTTCTTTGGGTCACTCAATTTCCTTACTAGTAAATGAAGATGACCCCTACCACATCTAACACTCTATGACTCTCCTTATAGACCCCGTGGGTCAAATTTCCTTGGTGTAACCACTCTGGATTATCAGAAGTGTGGAAAGGGTTAGATTTTATTTTTTAAAAAAAGAGTAATTTTTGAGCAGTTATAGATGTATACAAAAAATGTAGCAGAAGGTATAGAGTTCCCATGTACCTCCTTACACATACCCCAGTTTCTCCAATTATTAACATCTTGCATTAGCAGGTACATTTGTTACAGTGGATGAGCCAATATTGACAAATTATTAACTAAAGGCTATTGTTCACACTAGGGTTCATCTTTGTTTTGTGCATTCTAAGGGTTTTAACACATATATAGTGATACATATCTACCATTACAGTATCCTACAGAATAATTTCATAGCTCTAAAAATCCTGTGTTCCATCTATTCATTCCCTCTTTCTTCCCACCCCTGCCCCTGGCAACCATTTATCTTTTTACTGTCTCCATAGTTTTGCCTTGTCTAAAATGTCATATAGTTGGAATCATATAATATATAGTCTTTTCAGATTGGCTTCTTTCTCTTAGCAAAACATATTTAAAGTTCTTCCATGTCTTTTTGTGGCTTGATAGCTTATTTGGTTTTAGTACTGAATAATATTTCATTGTTTGGATGTGCCATCGTTTATCCATTCACTTATTGAAGGACATCTTGGTTGCCTCTAGGTTTTGGCAATTATGAATAAAGCTGCTATCAACATTCATGTGCAGGTTTTTGTGTATATGTAAGTTTTTAACTCATTTGGATAAATACCAAGGAGTTGTGATTGCTAGATGGTATGGTAAGAGTACATTTAGTTTTGGAAGAAGCTTCTAAACTGTCTTCCAAAGTGGCTGTCCCATTTTGCATTTGCACCAGCACTGAATGAGAGTTCTTTTTGCTCCACATCTTCGCCAACATGTGATCTTGTTAGCGTTTTTGGATTCTGGTATCTAATAGGTATGTAGTGGTATTTCATTTTTGTTTTAATATACAATTCAGCAATTACATATGATGTTGAGCATCTTTTCATCTATTTGCCATTATATAACTTCTTTGATGAGGTGTGTATTCAGATCATCTGCCCATTTTTTTTAACTGGGTCATTTGTTTTCATGTTGTTGAGTTTAGACTTGATTTTTTAGAACTCTTTTGCCGATGATATGAGGCTTAAACAAGCACCCTTGCTTGACCCTGGCTGGTGTTGTCCAGAGGCCCTCATGAGTGAAGTATAATTGCACAGTTTATGCATACATTGTAGCAAGCATAGCTTAAAGACTCTTCATCCAGGAGCTGGTAACAGAAAAGCTGTCGAAGGGACATAGTTCACTGAAAAGAGTCTTTGAAAAGGAGGATTCTGGCCAGTAGATCCAAAGGAGAAGGCTGGCAAACGCCACCTTAACCAAGTGATCCAAGTTAACATCAGTGATGAGACATCGACATCTTGTCCTTCTCGAGCAGGTACATCACTTCTGGGGTACTCTTGCCAAAAAAGCGCAACCTGAATCAAATCAGGAGGAAACGTCAGACAAAATGAAACTGAGGGACATTCTACAAAACGACTGGCCAGTACTTTTTAAATGTGGTTTGATCGTGAAAGAAAAAGAATGACAGAGAACTGTCCTAGATTAAAGGGAGACTAAGAAGACACGACATCTCAATGCAATGTATGATCCTGGATTGAATCCCAGAACAGAAAAGGACCCTTAGAGGGGCAATTAATGAGATGCGGTAAGTGCTGTAGATTAGCTAATCGCATTATACCAGTGGGAGTGTCCTGTGTTTGATCACTGCACTGGCGTTATATAAGATGTTAATATTTAGAAAAGCTGGCTGAAGGGTTACGGAAATCTCTTGTGCTGTTTTTGCAATATTTTCGAAAGTCCTAAGTTATTTCGGTTCAAATTAAAAGTTTAAAAAACAAGAATTAGAAGCTCCAGAAGGCCGCGCGCCAGCTGCTCCTGTGGGACGGAGCACACAGGTCCTCCTGGTGGGAGCCCCCCGTGCCGTTCACGCTCCGCCCGGCGGGCATTGAACCCTCACCCGAGAAGCGCCGCCCCCGCTCCCGCCTCGCCCCGCCCCGCCCGCTCCGCTCCGCTCCGCTCAGGCCGCGCCACGGCTGACGCCCCCCGGCACCCGCCGTCATGCCCCTGGCCGCGCCGCCCGCGCTCCTGCTGCCGCTGCTGGGGCTCGCAGCTGCTGCCGTCGCGGGTAAGCCCGTAAGCCGTCCCTCGCCGGGACCGCGCGCGACCGCCTTCGCCCCCTTCCCAACGCACACTCTTCGTCCTCGCGCACCCGAGGGCATCCCGCCCTTCCCTGCACGACCGTCCCCCGTGGGTCCTGGCTCCGGGTCACCTCTCACCCGCCTGCCCTCGGGGAGGGGAGGTGGCCGAGAATACGGGAGGGCCCTGTCTTCCTTCGAGTCCACATCCTCAGCGCAGACCCCACTCCGCGGGGAGGGAACCCCCAAATTAGGCCGATTGGCTGGAGAACTGAGGGACTTGGAGTTGCACGACGGGCGCCGTTTCAGGTCCATTTCAGGCTGAAATGAGAAGCGGGGACATTGGCGGCGATTTCCCCAGCTGGTGCGCGGCCGGGGTGGGGTTGCTGGGATGGGGGTGGGGGCGGAGGAAGCAGGCCCTCTTTTGCAAGCAGCGCTGTTTGTCTAGTTGGTTGGTGTTCAAGTTGTTGAAACAGGAAAACAGTTCAGCCAAATAACCCCTGGATGGAAGAGGAACGGGAACAGGCCAAGCTTGGATTTCACTGAAATCAAGGGGTTTTAAAGTTCTAGTCTGCTGTTGTGCAAGTGACATCTGAAAAATCACACACGTGACCACTCACTCACAAAATGACTTGTGAGGAAAATGCACAATTCTATTGACTGTTTTTTTTTTTTTAATTTCCATACAAGCATGTCAAAAATATGTGGATGGGGAGACTGGAGAAGGGAGACTTCCAAAAACACCACTGACTGAACAATTCCGGGAATTAAAGAGCAAAATAAACAAGAACTAAATTAGTACTTGTGTGGGCTTAAATAAAGTGCAAGAGATTTAAATAACATGCAAGAGATTCCCCCCCAACCTCGGCCCCGAATTTCACTGCCTTTTTATAGTAAGTGCCTGTTCAAAGTCTGCTGACAGGAATATTTCAGTGGACCTCACTGCTGGAGGCAGCAGCAGCTCAGAACTTGCATACAAACCCAAGGTTCCTTTCTTGAAAGCTTTTGTGGACCAGCATTTATGACTGGTTATGCCACTTGCTGCCTGTCAAAGGGGCAGAAACAAGATGTGCCCATGTTCACACTGTTCAGACTGGGAACATTAATTTTGTCTAAGACAAAGCTGGGCTGTCTCTGAACCCTTCTTCTGCACACCCTCATTTTGCAAGCCAGTAACATCTCAACTCTCATGTAAACCACCCTCTGCGAGGCTGTGCATTTGTACTTTAGGCTAGTCGAATTTTCTTGTCAGATTTTTCTTTCTTGTCAGACTTTTAAAGAAAATCAGTTTCTAGATTTTGGTATGTCTCTTCTTCAGTGAAGCTGTTTTGACCAGCAATAGAGGGCAAATTTCCCTTTGGAAATTTTTGTGCATTTCCTTTGATAAGTCCAGTGTGGATCAATAGGCTTTTCAAGAGCTTTAGAAAAGTGCATGATGAATAAATTAATGTTGTTAATTAATCAGCTTCTCTCAGTCAGGAAGCTTTAAGGATTAATTTAGAAATGAGTGTGAGCTTTGACCTAGCTAGTTAACCAACTTATCTGCACTTCAGTAAAACAGAGATAATACTTACCTCACGGGGCTATTGGGAGCATTAAGTGGAAACTCCACGTCTAGTCCCTGTTACAGGTGTGGTTCATCTTGATTTCCTTCCCTTTATTCTCTTCATACAAAATGAAGGGTAATTGTTGCAACCAGAAAACATATGAATACCACCTTATGTGTATTGGATGTTTATGGTTACTGAGCACATTCATATACATGCTAATGTTATAGGGCTGAAAAACTAAGTGTGTTTTTCATAATACTTTACAAATCTCCCATCCAAGCAAGATCAGGGGTCATATTTGGCTTAGAACTAAGTCAAGAAAGAGTTTGTTGCTGAATACCAAGATCTTAATAGAAAAGCTCTTATGATGTTGCATAATAAATATGGGTATTGCATATAAATGTGATATTGAAATGGAAATCATTGTTATTTTCTGTCATTCTGGAGGTTATTAGTGAAGTGATCTTATGTTGTTCTTTGCTATTATTTTGAAAATCACAGTGGACAAAACATTCTTTAAATTCCTGAGTGAAAATCCATGGCATCTCTTTAAAAAGTTTTTCTGTAAGGGTGCTTAAGCACATAGTAGATGATCAGTATGTGTTTATTGGTCAGTGGTTTCCTATGCCTGGCATGAGATAACAAGCATGTTCTGAGTAAGTCCTCATTCCGTGATCATCATGTGGATCGGAATCTAGGGAGTTTGAATTGCCATGTCCTACAAGCCTTAGATGAGGTGCCTCTGCCTTCTTCCCTGATGTCATCTCTTACCATCCTTCCTGTCATTCACTCTGTGTATCCATGGAGTAAACAGTATCTGGGTACTCCAACGCCTCTGGTCCTTCTGTGCACACCGCCTTCCTGCAGTCCTTGGCATGGCTGCCCCTACCTCCACCATTCAGATCTCTGTTCATATGTCACCTTCTCCAAAGCCTCCCTGAACACCCACATTCTCCATCACATCTCCATGTTTTATCTTTTCCAAGCCTTTCTGAATGCATCGTGTTTATTCATATGTCTTGCTTGTTGCTTCTCTTACCAGAGGGAAGCTCCATAATAACAGAGATTTTACCATCTCGTGGATTTTTGTTTTGTTTGATTTGTGTACCTGCACTTTATTCTAAGTTATAATAAAAGGATGAAAAATTTAGGTGAGTTATTTAAAAAGGAGGTGGGATAAGTGGATTGCAATTTTTTTTCAAATTATATTACCTCTGCTATGCACTCATTTCATAGATTGAATTCAAAGCCTTAAATCATCTTAATCTACTGATGCCACCTTTTCTTTCTTTCTTTTTTTTTTCCAAGATGGAGTCTCACTCTGTCACCCAGGCTGGAGTGCGGTGGTGCAATCTCGGCTCACTGCAACCACTACCTCCTGGGTTCAAGCAATTCTCCTGCCTCAGCCTCCCGAGTAGCTGGGATTACAGGCATGCGCCACCATGTCTAGCTAATTTTTGTATTTTTAGTAGAGATGGAGTTTCACCATGTTGGCCAGGTTGGTCTCAAACTTCTGACCTCGTGATCTGCCCACTTCAGCCTCCCAAAGTACTGGGATTACAGGGGTGAGCCACCGTGCCCGGCCTGATGCCACCTTTTCTGACTCTTGTGTATGGCACAGTTATGTTTCAGGGGAAATTATCTCAGATTAAATATTAGAGTATTTTAAAATAAATTTTGAAATGTTAATGTTTATTTTTCTTCCAATGAAAAAGTGAAATTACAATTAGGTATTATTTCAGGACTTCTTTTACTGTTGAGAATCTTTTAACAATTTGCTTATGTGTTGAAAACTAGTTTTGCAGCAAGATTACTTTCCATAATTTTTATTGTGCATATCAAGTATTTCATTCCTTTTGTGGGTTTTTTTTTTGTTTTTATTTTTTTGAGACAGGGTCTCACTCTGTCACCCAGGCTAGAGTGCAGTAGTGCAATCATGGCTCACTACAGCCTTGACCTCCTGGGCTCAAGTGATCCTCCCACCTCAGCCCCCCGAGTAGCTGGGACTACAGGTGCATGCCACCATGCCCTGCTATTTTTTTTTTTTTTGTAGAGGTGGGGTCTCACTTTGTTGCCCAGGCTAGTCCCGAACTCCTGAGCTCAAGTGATCCTCCTACCTCAGCCTTCCAAAGCTCTGGGATTACAGGTGTGAACTGCCACGCCTGGCCTGTTTTAGATTTTGAGGGCAAATCTTGAGACCGAATCTTTAAAAAAATAGACCAGTGATGCCCAAAGAGAAAGGTACAGATTAACAATGGCACACCCTTCTATGAAAAAATATTATTCATAGCCCTTCTGAAGAGGGAAGTGATGGGAGAATATGGAGATGCATGTCTTGAAAGCTAGATTGGGAAGAGTGATATGGAGAGGGGATGGGGTGTCAGAGTGCCTCAGTTTCTTTGGGATTCAGAGAGATCTTGCAGCTCAGAGTACAGCCACAGAATCTCTGGATTAGTCAGGGACTTGGAACAGCCACTCCCTCCTCCATACATATAAATGTAATAAATAGCCCCTCTTCTTCATCTGTCTCTGCCACAGTTGCCCTTGCAGAAGTTATGTGACTACAACTCATATCTTAATGGGAGAGGAGCAAAGGTCTTATTATTGACAATGAAAACAAAAAAGAAGTCTTTGCCTTTTCCTTCATTAATGTTTAGAACAAGTATGTCCCAAGAATCACTTCCTCATGCTGTGCCTGTTTTGTCTGTTTGTTTGTTTTTAAAAAAGAGAGAACTTATAAAGGAACCGAGAGTTCTATTAGATTTGACTGGTAATGCAAAGTATTCCTGTGGATATGATACTGTCTTCTATTAGCACATGACAATTTTAGGCAGAGGATCTATATAGAAACTTTTGGAGTTGTGCTAAGTACAGCTTCTAAAATATTCATGAGGCTCCTAAATTTCTGTACATATTAAAGAATTATAAAATTATAAAATCCCTAAGGGTCATTTAAGTGCATTATTAATCACAACCTATCATTCAGGACTGCTGTGAAGAAATAAGAGTCATAGAAAGGCCCTTTGCAGAGAGCTTAATGGGCAGGTTTTTAATTATATTAGGACTATAGCAAACATACTTAGCGTTGAAGACGACTTCGTTTAGCCTTTTGCTCATGAGGTGCATGAACGTCAACAACTCTCCTCACAGGAGTTGTCCAGCCTCTATTTGAACCCTGTTCTTCTCCAAGTACAAATATACCTTTTGAGTAGTGCTTAAAATTTGTTTCTGGGGCACACAGTCTGATCTATAGCATGAGAAAAGGGGTTCCATGTTGAATTAACTGGAGTTACTGCTAATGCTGAAATCAGCCTAAGGAGAAGACAGTTGAAAGTTTTGGGGAAGTGAGTCAACAGTCTGTTTTCTCTTTTTCTATACACATCCTGTTAAAAAAGTTTTTTTTTGTCTTGTCACATGCAGATGCTCCTCGACTTAGAATGGGGCTATATCCCAATAAACTTGTAAAGTCAAAAAATCATAAGTCGTCCATCATTAAGTTCAGGACCATTTCTGTATTACTTAGTTATTCATCAATGGTCTTTGAGTAGCTGGTTATCATTATCATCATCATACTCATTCCCATACTGTGCAAACACAGTAGCTTTGTGTTTGCTACTCCCTCTGTTTGCCTGAAATATCCATGTGACTTTTTCCCTCCTATCTTTTCGGGGACACACACCACACACACACACACACACACACACACACACACACACACACACACACACACACACACACAGAGTTGGTTCTCTGTTTCTCTGGAGAACCCTAATACAATAACCAGTAGGATAATACAGTGTGACAATCAAGGCTGGATTATATGAAGCACTGCATGTCCACCTTTGCCCTCCTTTGAATCACTCACTCTGGGAGAAGCTACCTGCCATGTCATAAGGACCCTCAAGCACCCCTGTGTAGAAGTCCACGTGGTGAGGAACTGTGGTGTCCTGCCCACAGCCAGTACCAGCTCACCACCCATATGAGTGAGCCTCCTTGAAGCTGACCTACTAGCTCCAGTTCAGTATTCAGATGGCTGCAGCCCTAGCCAGCATCTTCACTGTAACTTCATAGAGACCCCAAGCCAGAATCACCCAGACAAGCAACTGCTTCTGAATTCCTGACCCTGAGAAACTGTGTATAATAAGTGTTTCTTGTTTTAAGCTGCTCATTTTTTACATAGCAATAGACCACAATACACCATCTAACATATTATTTTACGTATTTGTCTTCCTTTTGCATATCTGCCTCAACTAGAACATAAATTTCCAGGAGGATAGGAATTTTTTTCCTTTTTGTTCACTGTGGAATCCCAAGCACCTAGCACAATTTTTTAACAGCAACCCCCTCACATAGGTACTGTTATTCCCATTATACAGATAAGGAAACCGGGACACAGTAAGGTTAAATAACATGTCCAAGATTGTGTAGTCAGAGCCAGACTTTTCTCTACAACCTAATGGGCTTAACCAGAGTCCTGTATTGACCCACTTCTATGCATCCCTTCCAGTGTTATATTCAAGGCGGAAGGATAGTTATTATTGAGAATACAATTAGATCTCAGACATGATCTTTGCTGTCGTGGAGTTAACAATCATTTGGGAAAGCAGGATGCATATCAGATAGCCGCTAAATAAAGCAGGATCTAATGAGTGCTATGTAAACGTGGATAGGCCGTCAGAGGGTAACACATTGCCTTTTCCAAAGAAGAATGACTACCCATAGTTCTTATGATTTGTGCCATATTATTTTCAAAACCCTAGCCACAACTAATTGGAATAAGGATAATTTCCTTAATCAAAAGCTGACTAGGTAGGCATCAGCCCAATATGGGGCCTAGTATATGAACGCTAAGCCTATTTGACTGTTGAGATAGTATCCTCAGTTTTCTTACTGGCCACGTATCTGTACAATAAATCTATCATCTTGTAGCCTGAGCATGTCTTTAGTCCTTGTTGCCAGAAAAGGCCTCTCATGCATAATGCAGTTTAAAAGTCCTACAGATGTTCAGAGGAGTCATAGGTTAGAGGAAGATAAGGCTGAGACACTTCATGGAGAATTGACACATGAGCTGCCGCTGAAATAAGCATATACTTTAATCAGTGTTTTAGAGATCATATCTTCGAATCGTTTTAATTTATAAAGTATAAGAACTACATGTTTTCACAGCATGCCAGGAGCAAAAGATAAAAAAAAAGAACTATAAGTGCTTGACTTGGGTGTTGATTATATTTTTGTGGACTTATTACACATATTTTATTTTATATAAATGGTATTTCAAAAATTCATTCATTTTTGTATATTGTCGAGTTGTTATAAGTAGAAAACAGTATCTGTAGTTTTGACTAGAAATAATACAAAAGTGCATTTCTGAACCTGTGGTTCAATAATTGCCAATGATTTATAAAAGTGTTTCAGATGTCATTCAGTGTGGTAATGCAGTCTGTTTCCATTTCATTTTTTAAAAAATCCATAAGGTAAAAGAAAAAGAGCAATAAAAGGAACCAGACGAAAGTAAAAGAGGGAAAAAAGAAGAGAAAGAGTAATCGAAGTTTGTAATTTAGAGCCTCTGCCCTTTTGACTTTCAGTTTGAGTTTTATTCTGGAAATGACTGCTGTGTCCTCTGTCATGTCTCTGGCAGCAGAGAGGGGAAGGAGGGAAGAAATCTGCCTTTACATCCTAGTTCACTCATTCAATGAATATTTATGGAGACCTTACTAGGTACCTGTAACTGTGCTTTTTATCATACACCCTCTGCCTGGATTCTTTTTTTGAGACGGAGTCTGGCTCTGTCGTCCAGGCTGGAGTACAGTGGCCGGATCTCAGCTCACTGCAAGCTCCGCCTCCCGGGTTTACGCCATTCTCCTGCCTCAGCCTCCCGAGTAGCTGGGACTACAGGCGCCCGCCACCTCGCCCGGCTAGTTTTTGTATTTTTTAGTAGAGACGGGGTTTCACCGTGTTAGCCAGGATGGTCTCGATCTCCTGACCTCGTGATTCGCCCGTCTCGGCCTCCCAAAGTGCTGGGATTACAGGCTTGAGCCACCGCGCCCGGCCCTTCTGCCTGGATTCTAAGCATTATACCTGACACGTAGAAGTTGCTCAGCAAATGTCTGATATGGATGATGGGTAGATAGGTGACCAGTTGTTGATAACTTGTTGAAAAGTATAAAAGATGGAATTTTGCATCTCACTATCATGGAGTAGAAGACTAATACTCCCATTAAGAACAACTAGAAAATCTAGATTAAATTCCTGGAAGTGGATTTGAAGGAATAAGAGTTTCTCTGAATAAAGACCAGATTTTCAAAGAAGGTGGCAGAAATGTGTAATGAACCTGAGATGGCTGAATGCTATTTCTCAGGGAAAGGATCTACCTGCTCCATATACAGACTTTCAACCAAGTGTCTTGTTTTCAGACCTTCCTCCTACAAAGCTGTCTGGCTTCTCCAATTCCTGACTCTATTCTGGACTTCTTTGCTTTGCAAATGTTGGTATCATGTAATTTTATAGCCAGATTGTTTTAATGTTTCATAATGAACATTTTCCCAAAGCAAAGTGTTTGCTGCAAAACAACCGTATCTTTAAGCCAGCATTGTGGGAGAGTTCTAGATTCCTACCAGAGTTAAACCCAAGGTAGTCATATGTGTAATTCAAGTGCTTATAAAACAGCTGGAAGGAAAAAAAACTTGGATATAAAATAAATTTAGGTGGGTCACAGTGGTTCTGGAGCCTAGGCTTAAAAATGCACATCTTTATAATAAACAAAAAGAGACCAAGATAGAGGTGAAGGAGATGTCCCCTTAGAGCAGTAGAGGAAGAGTTATGGTTCTATTTCATTGAACTACTTTAAAGAATCTACTTTGATGAGGTGTTAAATTAAGGACATTCATAAGAACATCAGTCTTGTTTTCCTGTGCAATATGAAAACTTGTGTGAATATTTATAAGCTAGCAACTTCTTTTTCTCTTCTGTTCTTAGAGGTATAATTTGAACAACAGGGCCTTGTAAAAGTCTGAAGACTTTTGAAATTGTTAAATACTGCAAAGATAACCTTCAAACAGAAGTGTGTAATCCTGATTGGCTGTCTTCTAGATAGTTTGTTGCCTTGAATTCCTAAACAACCTAAAAACTTGTATCTTTGCTCTGTAAAGTCAGAAGAGAATCATTGGCACATTTCTCTTTTTCCGTATGTATAATGGAGAGAAACAAATTCCTGTTACACTGGTTGATTTCTTATTTTAATAAAGATTTAACAAAGGAAATTGCCTTTGTGTGTGTGTGAAAATTTAATATCTAATATCCTTATCTTTGGGAATTCATGTAATTCTTTTTCTCAAGTTATTTAACAGTGTTCTTCTTTTTTCTACATAGACTGTCCTTCATCTACTTGGATTCAGTTCCAAGACAATTGCTACATTTTTCTCCAAGAAGCCATCAAAGTAGAAAGCATAGAGGATGTCAGAAATCAGTGTACTGACCATGGTAAAAGGCTTATTCTTTTCTGTTTGTTTTTTCACAAATTAGTAAACAGTGTTCATTAATTTCTTTAAAAACTGATTTTGTCACATCTGACTTTTAACTGGGTCCTAAGATTTAATGTACAACTTTTATTTGACAACACACAAGCTACAGGCAGTGGAATTGGGTATATATTTAATCCTGGAGTTGAAAGACAGTTGTTGGACAATATGGTCCAAAGCAGGGTCTATTTAACATGCATATCCTGTGACAGGCACTGTGGTTAAGCACACCATATACTTTACCTGGCTTTAATTATCATAACAAACCTATCAAGTAGTGTATTATCATCATTTTACTGAGAGATGAAATTAACTTCAGTTATTTGTTCAAGGTAACACAGGAAATAATTGACAAAGCCAGGATTTTAACCCAGGTCTGTTGGATTTTAGGCTTAGAGTTCTTAATCACTTAGTTATTCTCCTGGAAAGTGCTGAAGTCAGATTACATAGGACCATGAAGTAAGACTGTAGTAAAAAAGAGAATATCAAGGAAAAATTATAAAAAGTCGATTTGCTAGAGCATACACTCAGTGTTCTCTAGGAAATAGATTTGTAACTTCACATTGTAAAATATTTGAAATAAAAATATCTGTTTTTTTTTTTTTTTGAGACAGGATCTTGCTCTGTCACCCAGGCTTGAGTGCAGTGGCATGATCACAGCTCACTACAGCCTTGAACTCCTGGGTTCAAGTGATCCTCCCATGTCAGCCCTCTGAATAGACAGGACTACAGATGTGCGCTATTTTGTTTGTTTGTTTGTAGAGACGGGGTTTCACTATGTTACCCAGGCTGGTCTGAAACTCTTGGCCTTAAGTGATCCTCTCACCTTGGCCTTCCAAGGTGCTGGGATTATAAGTGTGAGCCACTGCATCCAGCCAAAAAATGTCATTTTTTTAAAGACTGTGCTTGGAGGCTATTTATATATTTGGCTATTGGGCCCAATTGAGCCTCTAATTATTTTGACACTTTTTTTTTTTTTGAAATGGAGTTTCACTCTTGTTGCCCAAGCTAGAGTGCAGTGGTGTGATCTCAACTCACTGCAACCTCTGCCTCCTGGGTACAAGCGATTCTCCTGCCTCAGCCTCTGGAGTAGCTGAGATTACAGGGGTGCACCACCATGCCTGGCTAATTTTTTGTATTTTTAGTAGAAACAAGGTTTCACCATGTTAGCCAGGCTGGTGTCGAACTCCTGAGGTCAGGCAATCCACCTGCCTCGGCCTCCCAAAGTGCTGGGATTACAGGCGTGAGCCACCGTGCCCAGCCTAAAGGTGCTTTTTATTACTGTTATATTCTTCAACAATAACATTTGGAAGAATGTTTCAAACTGTATTAGGGATACCTTAATCAAAATCATATACATTTATTATAGAAGGAATAAATGTAAACACTGAAATTATTAATCTTATTAAAGTGCCACATAGTACTTAATACATATATGTTGTTTCCCTTTGAGAAAGTCCTACATGAACATCGGCTCTGTGAAAACAAGACGAAATTTCCAACATGCCAATATGGTTTTATTTCAAGGCAGCTGAAGTAAAATAATAGCAATTCTGCTGGTCTTAGAATATTTTTAAATCAAGTTTTCCCCTGCAACTATTTTCTTTCTTTCCTTCCTTTTCCTTTTTCTTTTCGTCTTTCTCTTTCTTTCTCTCTTCCTTCCTTCTTCTCTTTCTTTTTCTTTCTTTTTCTTCTCTCTCTCTCTTTTTGTTCATTCTTTCTTTCCTTTTTACATTTTTTTTTTAATGGATTCTCAGTCTGTTGCTCAGGCTGGAGTGCAGTGGTGTGATCTCAGCTCATTGCAACCTCCACCTCCTGGGTTCAAGCAATTCTCCTGCCTCAGCCTCCTGAGGAGCTGGGATTACAGACACGTGCCACCAGACCCAGCTATTTTTTTTTTTTTAATATTTTTTTGGTAGAGACAGGATTTCATCATGTTGGCCAGGCTGCTCTCAAAGTCCTGACCTCAGGTGATCCACCCGCCTCAGCCTCCCAAAGTGCTGGGATTATAGGCATGAGCCACCGCGCCCGGCCCCTACAACTGTTTTCTATCCCTTAAAAAAAAATTATATTAGGTATACTGAGACATAAACGTAATTTCAATGACATAAATCATATTCAAGGCTGAGAGCCAAGACATGTCCCTGTAACCTTATTAGCTTGTATGAACCGTAAGAGCAAAGTTCATTGTCCAGCTCTAATATATATAGAAAGTTAAGCAACTATTTATTATTTTTATTTACCTAGTGATTTTCACTGATTCTAGAATATGCTGACTTTTTTCTCTTTAAAATAATTTCAGGAGCGGACATGATAAGCATACATAATGAAGAAGAAAATGCTTTTATATTGGATACTTTGAAAAAGCAATGGAAAGGCTCAGATGATATCCTACTAGGCATGTTTTATGACACAGATGGTAAGTGATATTTACCTCGTGGGACGTGACTTTGTTCTTTTTTAATGTAGTAAAACTGATGGCTCTTCAATTCTCTAGTTCAAGTTGATGATTCCTGTGGCCTCCAGGTGTTACATTTTCAGTGTGCGGCTATGATCGTACCACAGCTTGTATCTGCACAGCTCAATGAGTTACACAGATGAAAGCCACAGTTGATTCTTGTCTGGATTAAAATGTGGCTCTAAGGCTCAGTATTTTTGTAATATAGCATGATCATAAAAGTTAGTATTAGCATCTGCAACTAATAGGCTAAGGATAGAGTAAATTATCACGGTTCTATTATATAAATGTATTTATCATCACTGTAGACAAATATAAAGTACGTATGTAAACATTTTCAAGTGAAATGAAATTACTAAGGTTACTACTAACATTTAACTATTTTTCTTGACTTTTCCCATAAGAATATTATACATATATATATTTTTGCAAAAACTGAATCATCTTCAGAAACCTCTTAAATCGATAGCTTTTGATGATTTGGCTGTACACAGGATATATTCCTCCTTCTAATTTTAATCCTACAACCAAAAGTTTAGACCAGACATACCTTAGTAACTTTCCACCTTTAATCCTACACGCTTTTCGACTTGAACACCTTTTAAAACTGTCATAATGTTGAAAATATTCCTTAATTGACAGATGCGAGTTTCAAGTGGTTTGATAATTCAAATATGACATTTGATAAGTGGACAGACCAAGATGATGGGGAGGATTTAATTGACACCTGTGCTTTTCTGCACATCAAGACAGGTGAATGGAAAAAAGGAAATTGTGAAGTTTCTTTTGTGGAAGGAACACTATGCAAAACAGCTAGTAAGTATGACTGAAGGTGTTTTTCCATTCTAGGAGGGGCAGGGAAAGTAGGGCTGGTTTTAAAATAATTTTGAGATAAGTATGCCTCAATAAATAGGATAAGGCTAGGCACGGTGGCTCACACCTGCAATCCCAGCACTCTGGTAGACTGAGGCGGTGGATTCCTTGAGTGCAGGAGTTCCCAGCTTGAGCAACATGGCGAAAACTCATCTCTACAAAAAATACAAAAATCAGCTGGGCATGGTGGTGTGCACCTGTGGTCCCAAATACATGGGAGGCTGAGGTGGGTGGATCAATTGAGCCTGGGAGGTTGAGGCTGCAGTAAGCGGTGAATAAGTCATTGTACTCCAGCCTGGGCAAAGAGCAACACTCTGTTTCCAAAAAAAAAAAAAAAAAAAGAAAGAAAAGAAAAGAGAATAAGACTTCAGAATATATTAATAGGATGGTTTGCTCTTAAGTCTCTTGGAACTCAAATTATAATTTTCTTACATTTAGGAGATAAGGCCAGATCACATGAAATAGGCATACTTTTATTCTATCTGCTTAGTGTTTGCAAGAGGTCAAAAATTTCTTGTTTAAAGGAATTATTATAATCTCTTTGCATGTGATTTAAGTGAGCAGAAGTGGTGAAGAATAATCATGTATAATTCTAGAATTCTCGTGTTACTTTACAGGGAATTCGATTCTCCATAAGAACATCCTTTGTTTAGGCAAACAAAAACTACATCATAGTTTATAATTCATTTGGAATTAAAATGTTTTCTTCTGACCCATCAGAAGGTTTTTTTTTTTTTTTTTTTTTTTTTTGAGACGGAGTCTCTCTCTGTCCCCCAGGCTGGAGTGCGGTGGCGCAATCTTGGCTCACTGCAACCTCTGCCTCCCGGCTTCAAGCGATTCTCCTGCCTCAGCCTCCCGAGTAGCTGGCACTACAGGCAGCTGGCACTACAGGCACCTGCCACCACGCCCGGCTAATTTTTATATTTTTTAGTAGAGATGGGGTTTCACCAGATTGGCCAGGCTGGTCTCAAACTCCTGACCTTGTGGTCTGCCCCCGTCCGGCCTCCCAAAGTGCTGGGATTACAGGCGTGAGCCACTGTGTCCAGCCCAGAAGGTTTTTTAATGAACAGAATTATCCTGGCCCACAACAGTATTTTGATATTTGTTAAAATACTACACAGTTTGTTATTCTAAGTTTTAGAAAGTAAATGTTTTCTCATTAAAGAAACTTAAATTTTCAAAATGTGGGCTGGGCACAGTGGCTCATGCTTGTAATCCCAGCACTTTTTGAGGCTGAGGCAGCCTTGTCAACATAGCAAGACCACCATCTCTACAAAAAAAGTTTTGTTTTGTTTTTTAATGTTTCAAAATATGAATTTGGGGTGCTTGAAACATGATATAAGCAACCATTTCCCCATTTTGCATACTTAGTATTTTCCCCTTCTACTTCAACTGTAAACCAAAACTCCACATCCTGCTCTGCTTAATTCCTTTCTTTACATATGGAAGTATGTACATTTCTTTACTTGCAACGGCAGGATCCTTGACTACTATTAGTTTTACAGTGATTATCAAAATGTTCATCATAGTTTTATGGTAGTAGTATTCAACTTCAAATATTTGTTTTGCAAAATATTGGTTCTTTTCAGGTACTGCACCTCATGGTGCAATTACATAAACAAAGTTTTTAATTAAACTATAACTTCAAAACATCAGAAGTAGTGAGTACATCCATACTAAGGTAGTTAGGGTCACAGTTGTTTAATTTTACGACATTTGTTTTCTATACTCTCCAACCAGAATCCTCTTTTTTCCTTTACCTCATTATTGTCTTTTCCTCAAGATCCCATATTCGTTTCCACCAACCAAGCTAATGCATGTTGTGAGCCCTCTACAGCTTTCTTTAAAAACTAAGTTCAAAACAGACAAGAGACAATTAATGAGGCAAAGAAATACGGATTTTAAGCTATGAATATGTTGATACTAAGCTACTAATAAAAGGGTTTATTTTTAATGATTGTGAACATGTTTAAAGTCAATCCTATAATAAAGCATAATTAAATTCTAATTTTAATTTTCTTTCGTATTTTAGTTCCATACAAAAGGAAATATTTATCAGGTAAGTGATGATTTGGTCTTTAAATTTTTCCCACAATTAAAAATATATCAAAATTCTGGCATATTAAAATACTATTACAGATCCCTTTTAAAAATTATGTAATACAAAGTAGAACAATTTTTATAAGAATGTAGAAAGGTCTCTTAGTAATAAGACTCGACATTTTAAATATATTCTACAATATGTAGTTTTGTCTGGCTTCTTTGACTTGGGAATTTTTTTTAGATTCATCTGTGTTGTGCACATTCACTGAATTTTTTTCCTAAGCCTTATAATACTTTATGAATATATCATATATTGTCCATTCTCTTGTTTATGGATATTTGGACCACTTCTAGTTTCAAACTAATTTGAATAGAGCTGCCTACGAACATTCTCATACATCTTCTTTTGGACTATGTTCTAATTTTCTTTGAGTATATTCTAGAAAGTAGAAAGCTGGGTCATAGGGCAAGTATATGTATTTAGATTTATTAGAAACCACCAAATAATTTTTCAAAATGCTTAAATCATGTTACTACTGGCAGCGTGTCCAAGTTCCATTTGCTCCATGTTCACCCCATGATGGTATTGTCAATTTCTTTATTTTTAGCCATTCAGATCAGGTGTGTAGTGATCTTTTTGCGGCTTTCATTTTCATTTACCTGATGATGTTGAGCACCTTTCAGATGATTATTTATTTGTATATCTTTTGTGAAAAGGCTTTTACCCATTTTCGGAGTGCGGAGTGCGGAGCTTGACTCGCTGCAGTCTCGACCTCCTGGGCTCAAGCAATTCTTCCACCTCAGCCTCCCAAGTACCTTGGACTACAGGTGTGGGTCGCCATACCCAGATAATTTTTTTTGTACAGATGGGGTTTCACCCTGTTACCCAGGCTAGTCTCAAACTCCTGGGTTCAAACGATCCACCCACCTCAGCGTCCCAAAGTGCTGAGATTACAGGCGTTGGGCCGCCATGCCCAGCCACCCATATTATTTTTATCGAGTTGCCTTTATTATTGGTAGGAATTTTTAAAATAACTTTTGTTTCTTTAAATTTGGATATGGGCCGGGCTAAATAATACAAAGCTTAGCCGGGCACGGTGGCGAGTGCCTATAATCCCAGCTACTTGGGAGGCTGAGGCAGGGAGAATTACATGAACCTGGGAGGTGGAGGTTGCAGCACTCCAACCTCGGTGACAGAGTGACTACATCTAAAAACCAAAAAAATTGAATCTGAGTCCTTTGTCAGTTTTCTATTTGGGGGTTACTACGATAGAACTATGACAGAGGAGAAGAAAAGAAGTGTTGAGTTCGTGTGTATACAGGAATTACATCTTCATTCATCTATAGGAAGAAGACAATAAATAACAAGCGTTAGTGTGGATATGCAGCAATTGGAACTCTTGTGGTGGGAATGTAAAATGGGGCAGCCTCTGTGAAAAACAGTGTGGTAGTTCTTCAAAAAAATTAAAATTACCATATGATCCAGCAATTCCACTTCTCAGTATGTATCCCAAATAACTGAAAGCAAGGAGTCTTTAATATCCGTACACCCATCTCTTTGATAGTTGTGTATCTATGTTCATAGCATCATTTGCCATAGCCAAAAGGTGGAAGCAACCCGTGTCCATTGATGAAGAGATAAACAAAATGTAATCTGCGCATACAAATGAGTATCATTTAGCCTTAAAAGACACGAAAATTCTGACACACGCTACAACATTCATAAACCTGAAGGACATTAGGTTAAACAAAACAAGCCAGTCACAGGCCGGGCGCAGTGGCTCACGCCTGTAATCCCAGCACTTTGGGAGGCCGAGGCGGGTGGATCACCTGAGGTCAGGAGTTGGAGACCAGCCTGGCCAACATGGCGAAATCTCGTCTCTACTAAAAAAAAAAAAAATTAGGTGAAACCTGGAGGCAGAGGCTGCAGTGAGCCGAGATCGCTCCACTGCACTCCAGCCTGGGCCAGACAGAGCAAGCCTCCATCTAAAAAAAAAAAAAAGAAAAGAAAAAAAAAAAAAAGCCAGTCACAAAAGGCCAAGTTCTGTATAATTCTTACCTACAGTATGAGGTACCTGAAGTAGTCAACCTCACCAAGAAACTCTTTGCCAAGGGTTAGGTCAGGGAGAAATGGGAATTTAATAGGTAGAGTTTCCATTTTACAAAATGAGTTGTTCTGTGAATGGATGGTGGTGATGTAGCACAACGAAGTGAATATACTTAATGCTACTGCTCACCTAAGATATATTTGTTACATGTAATTCTTTAAATTACATTTAAAAAAATCAAGTAGCAGAAGCATGTTATTTAGACATGGAGATAAATAGCTGAAGCAACAGGAGTGTAGTTAACTTTAAGGAATGGATGTTCAGGTGAGTAGTAGTGGAGCAGGAGCACAGTATTTTCATTACGTATCTTCTAGAACTGATTTCTAAGCTATGTAAATGTATTACTTTGGAAAAAACAGAGATACATGTAAGTTGGAACGTTTAGAAAAAAATAGATCTATGGCTTCAAAACCATGAATAGATGAAACATCTGGCAACATAGGGTCTTCAGACTACAGAAAAAGTAATCTCTAAATTCATTACATGTATATATGTGTACATAAATGCATATTAAATATGTGTGTATAATTTAGTGAGTAAATACTGTGTGTCAGACTTTCTCCTAAAGTTAGACATTGAAGACAGAGCAATGAACAAAACAAAAGCCCCTGCTCTCAAGCATACATTCTAGTGGGAAAGGTAAAACAAAAATATGTGAGATAGTGACATATCCTATAGGGAAAACAGGCAGATAAGGATGAATTCCAGTGCAAGAAGGGAGGTGCTGTACTTTTTTATTTTTCATAGGGTGGCCAGGGAAGGCCTCATTTGATAAGGCCATGAGTTTGCAGAATCAAGACCTAAAGTTAAAGTGAAAGCCTGTCATGTAGACAGACAGAGATTAGGCTTAGTCTGACTTTAAGGAGTAACGGTAGAGAACATGGAGTTGAAACAGCAAGGAAAACCACCCAATAATTAAGTGTAGCTGCAATCTTGGCAAACAGGGAGTTCCCCTTCATACCAAGTGTAAGCTGGAAGACTCCCTTGGGAAGAATACTTTCAACAGAATTAAGGTGTCCATCGTCGGATGCACCTAGTGTGGCAAGCAGACAGGAAAGGGCAAGTTAGTCCAAGCTGGGTTCAGCAAAGGTTACTAGAGAGGACACGGGAGTTAAATCTTCAAGGACAGGTTATCTGAGATGACAAATCAGGACCAAGGTGAAGGGTTGAATTTTTGCTGTCACTAAATGGACTTGGGCAAGTCATTTAAACCCTGTGCCTCAGAATTAAATGCACACAGTTGGCACTCAAACTAACCTGAGGTTACAGCCCAACAAAATGTTTCATATAGTTTTTGAGGTGGATTATACATAGTTCGGTCCTCAGATGATCAGTGTTTAGAACTAGGGCATGAAAGTAGCAGTCAAATAGGAAACAGAAGAAAAATGTGTAGTCTTGATAATTAATAGAGAGGAAGTCTATAATTTCCAGATTGGATGACTGGGCAGTGGCTATTTGCAGGAATTCAGAAGCGATTTGGGAGTAAAGTGGGGGTACACACACATATTTATCTATGGATTTACATACAAAACTTGAATGGTTGAGATCAACCATGGAAAGCTTTGAGTCCACAAAGATGACTAGGAAGCAGTCGTCTGAAAAACAGAAGAGAGCAAAGTCAAGGAAGCCAAGTGAGGAGATAACTTCAAGTCTGGACCGCTAACAATCTAGTTGCCTCAGGTTGAACTAAAACATTCACGTGTTTATGCATGTAGTCATAAAGAGATCATTGTTGACCTTTGCCACAGGAATTTCAGAACGTTGAGAAAATGGATTAAATGGGCTTAAGAAATGACAAAGAAGTGAAAGCTTGTTTCAGTGTTTGTTATGTCTCCTCAAGTAAGGAACATTGTTAGGCTAAAAAGTATTTTTCCTAAATTTTGTTTCTTTAAAAAAGTAGGATTTCATGGTAAATAGCTATTATACGCTCAAGCAATGGATTTTTCCTTTAATTAATGAGGTAGATAATAGATTTCCTAATGTAAAACTATCCTAACCTCCAGATACAAACTACACATTGTTTTAATACACTGCTCATCAGTTGCCTTGACAACTGACTTTGTCACACATTTAATAGTATGCAGCTAACTAAAACCTCTGGAGTCAACTTTGGCTAAAGGTCACTTGCAGAATGTGAAAATAAAAGCAGCATATATACTTACTGTGTCTCACCCATCTTGGATGCTGTCCAGTTCTTAGGATACCAGGTCTTTTAAAGCTATATAATTTAGTGTGTAAATATTTCTCAATTACCATGATCTTTCAGACTTGTTTTTCTGTATTACCATCATGTAATACCTATTTTTAACGTAGATGCTACTGATTATGAAGCTATTACTGTACAATCATTAGTAGACTGAAATAAAGTGTGTTCACATTGGTAAAGTTAAGGTTCTACACTGAAAATGGGCTATGTTAATTTTAAGAAAACTAACTACGGGGCTGGGCACAGTGGTCCACACCTGTAATCCCAGCACTTTGGGAGGCCGAGGGGGGCAGATCACTTGAGGCCAGGGGTTTCAGACCAACCTGGGCAACATGGCAAAACTCTGTACTAAAAATACAAAAATTAGCTGGACATCATGGTATGTGCCTGTAATCTCAGCTACCCGGGCTAACACATGAGAATCACTGGCACCCAGAAGGTGAAGGTTGCTGTAGCCAAAAACTATGGAAGAACCCCATTTGAACTCAGTTTACAGAATTCTTGGCGTTTTTTTTTTTTTTTTTCATTTTAATGTCTTTAATAATACCAACAAATCCACCCTCACACCTTACCAAATCTTTACTACCAAATTTTATTTCAGGATTAAAAGATAATTCACTTGTGACCATTTCCTCACTCCTCCCAAAAAATCCTGTCAATATCTGAAAAATATCAATGGCTCTCCCTCACTTTAACAAATAATTTGGCCAGATTTATCTCACCAATCTTATATACTTCCAGGTCTCATTTTAACAAGCACCAGTTAGAAATAATGGGTATTATGAATATATTTAATAATCAAAAATCTGTCAAAATTATTCTGAAAATTTTTCACATTCTTTAGTCTATTACTATACATAATACAAGTACCTGCCCAAAAGTATTTTCATCCTCCTAAACCAAGTTACTTTCCTCAATTTATTAAACTGGATTCTTATAGAAAGATTACAAGGGTTTGAACAGGCAAGAACTGCAAAGTTGTACATACTTATAGAACTTTAGGGAAACACACAAAGAATGAATGAATGCAGACACCCAAAAGCAAGGTACTTTTACTGCAGCTCTTGGGTGTTTTTTTCAGGTAAACAAATCTTAAATCCCCAAAGCCAGGTGAACCATTAAACCTCAATAATGTAACACATTATCTAAATACTAGAATTCCTAAAGGGAACAGTAGGTCTGAATTTGTAGTCTTAGAAAGTAAAGCAAAGGAACACAAACTGGAGCATGGTGTACTTGGGTGATTTCCATTTTGGGATCTTCAGTAGAGTGGAGAAGTGCACAACTTCCTAGAAAATTTGAGTAATATTCTTCAGGCCAAGAAATATTAAATCTTGATAGGAACAAATGTGCAATTTTTGGTTTTCTCATCAGTGTGGGAAATTCTCAACAGAGAAATGTTTAAAAAAACTACAGTTGTGCTCATCAAAATATACTTGCAACTTGTGTACCCTAATCTCCCATATGTTCTTTTGTCTTTTCCTTTTCAGATAACCATATTTTAATATCAGCTTTGGTGATTGCTAGCATAGTAATTTTGACAGTTTTGGGAGCAATCATTTGGTTCCTGTACAAAAAACATTCTGATTCTCGTTTCACCACAGTTTTTTCAACCGCACCCCAATCACCTTATAACGAAGACTGTGTTTTGGTAGTTGGAGAAGAAAATGAATATCCTGTTCAATTTGAGTAAGTTTTTGGTAATCTTGCACTAAGACATCAACAAAATGCCCTGGCAGAGATTCTTGGGAAAAATTTTAATATAAAACTTGACATTGGATATTAGAGCTTTAATGGTTTTCCTTATTCCAGTAACATTTTTATGTATTCATGTTGTGAAAAGAATCTTTAGGTTCATTAAAAAAACAGGTTTTAGAAATGATCTTAGATCTAATATAGTGATTTTAAGCATCCCGTCAAATGCAGAATCTGTCACTTGAATGAAGGAAAGCTTAAAGCCCAAGAAGCAGATAAAAATAAAAGCTCAGCCTATTTATCTTGCCTGCCGTATCTTCCCTTCTAGTTGACCACATATGTTTATTAGTAAACATGAAATGGGGAATAAGTGATTTTAAGTACATTCCATACATTTAAGTATCTTTGATAATTGTTTCTTTGGCAGATAATTCCTCTAGAATGTGTATTTCATGATTTAGATGAAGAAAATTTTACAACTTTTAACACCCCACACCACATAATTTTAGTTTCATTACACACACCATTTTATCACAAATGACTCGTTTTAATTAATGTTTATAAGTCTTTTGAAACAAAATATGATCGCTGTGTCCAGGATGGCATGGAGAAAGCTGGCAATTAGGTTAACACTTATATATCCTAGTGCCCCTTTAAGGATTTCTTTCTTGCCACCGTACCTTTTGTACCTTCCCCTGTACAAAGTATTTCATTCTCCTCAAGCATTTATAAATTTTTCCTTCAACGACATGAAAACTGTGTAAACAAAAACCGAAGAAAAACACTAAGTACAACTGTAGTGACAATGATCAGTTTTCAGTGCATTTATTGTACATTTTAAGAAAAAGGTGAAAATCATTTGGGGAGTAAAAAAATGAAAAAGCTGAAATGAGTGTTTTCCTCACCATCAATAAATCAAAAACAGGAAAGATAGAATGTATAAATTTCACATAAATTACTCATGTATCACTTATCAATGGGGATACGTTCTAAGAAATGCATAGTTAGGGAATCTTCTTGTGTGAAAATCAGCTTGTACTTACACAAACCCAGATGGTATGGCCTATTTTGTTCCAAACCTACACAGCATGTTACTGTGCCGAATACTGCAGACAACTGTAACACAACGGTATTTGTGTATCTAAATATAGAAAAGGCACAGTAAAAATATGGTCTACTAAGGGAACACTGTTCTATATGTGATCCATTACTGACTGAAGTATATTGTCTATATTTAGAAGTCTGAAGCTCAAAGAAAAGTAATCCCTCTCCTGAATCCACACCCCATCAATTATCTTACTTTCTTATGGGGAGATACACTATCTCACTAGCTTGACTAATGGCAACAAAGGCCCAGCTTTTGTAATCTTTTTATTGACCACATGAATCGAAAACACTCATCACAATTAACGGCACTATCATTAATGAGACATAAGTAACTAAAAAGTGACACAAAACTATTAACAGTGTGGCTATGTGGTACTGAAAATGCAGGCATTACACCAGCTGTTACATAAGCACAAGCATGCTCTGTAAGAGCTTTACATTTCTGAGATGTGGTGTAGTGTTTGAGATGTCTATTTTATTATTGATAGACTATTACTAATGTCAATATTGAACACTACCTTGGAATTCCTCCCTGGTTTTCCTATCCGAATTGTACCACTCCTTGAAGAACTACAGGCAAAGTAAAATTATGGCGTTATTATATCAACTAAGAGTTCTAAAGGAGTTCTTAAAGGAATGGTAGAATTTGGGTAGGAAAGTGATTAAGTCCAACTTAAAACCAACACTCTCAAACATCTAGAACTACAATGTCCAATGAGCCACTAACCACATGAGGCTATTTAAGTAAATTAAGTATAGTTTAAAATCCAGTTTCCCAATTACATTAGCCACATTGTCAAGTGTTCAAATCACAGGTGGTTAGTGGCTACCACACTGGGCAACATACATCATAGAACATTTTCATTATAGCAAGCTTTATTGGGCAGTGCTGCTCTTAAATCCTACCTTCCACTCAACTCCCATACAACTTTCTTTTGTATGTTTTGATACTTTCTACCTAATGGCAACTCTTCCAAAACAGCTGTTTTAAACTCTGATTTAATTTTCAACATTTGGTTTCATGGCCTCTGGTAATGAAGTGCTATATACATATATGAGTCGTCTCGCTGTGTCGCCCAGGTTAGAGTGCAGTGGTTCAATCTTGGCTCACTCCAATCTCTGCCTTGCAGGTTTTCAAGCGATTCTCCTGCCTCAGTCCCCTTAGTAGCTGGGACCACAGACATCTGTCACCACACCTGGCTTTTTGTATTTTTGGTAGAGACAAGGTTTCACCATATTGGCTGGGCTGGTCTCAAACTCTTGACCTCAAGTGATCCACCCACCTTGGTCTCCCAAAGTGCTGGGAGTACATGCGTGAGCCACCACGCTCGGCCTACATTTTAATTTTCTTTATATACCAGAACATCTATAACAGGCCCCTTATCTACTCATTAGTCAAGAGATAATTGGATTACACACGCGGGCTTGTTTACTACATTCAGAATGTAGAAACTGCTTTCTTCAACATCTTGGTTTTAGCTAGTAATAACAATATAATTCTTTGGCAGATATTTAGAGTAACATTTTAAACTACATTTTCTTAGAAAATTGCATTCTTTGTAGTGAGCAGTGTATGGTCTCTTTTGTTCAGAATTTAAAACTGATAACCAATGAAAGCCTTTTCTCTAATTCCTCTACTGTCATTTACATGATAATCTGAAGCTAATATGACAATATTTAAATACTAAGTGGTACTAGGGAACTAAAAGAATACTGTAAAGCTTAAGCCATTGTTATCACTGTCATTTAGCATTTAATGACAAAACTATACAGAATTATCTTATATGCATACCAATCAATGTTTTGTACCATTTAGTTAAAATTTTTAAATAAAGTTTTATGGGTTAAGCAGAACATAATTGTCATACTGAATTTTATTAAAAGTATATATACTTCAAATTCAAAGCATCCCTAAGGACCCACAGAATATATTAAAACTACCACCCTAAAATTTTATATTTTTGCTTTAAGACAGACAATGCAAAGATAACTGGCAAGAGGTGAGCAATATTTTAGAACATTTATATTACTGCTTAAAATGAGATTTGCAATTTTAATAAAATTATTGGTTATGAAGTTTGATGTCTTCTTTGAGCACCAGTTTAAAAGGAAACATTTCAAACTAAAATAAATCAGTGTGCACTTTATTTCGAGCCAATGTTTTACATAAGACCAACAAACTAAGTGTGGGCAAATTGTTCATTCACTTGAGAAATTACATGGTTCCATTTAGGTTTGAAAAAGTAGTTTGTTGCCATAACATCAGACCTTAAGGTGTTTTAAAGTGTATCCTAAGGGTATTGACAGAAGAAAAATACAGTGTTGTGGAAGTATACACAACTCATGACCACAGTATAGATCCATTCGTGGTAAATAATGTTC